CCTAATGCAAAAAAAAAATAACGTATTGATGTACAGTACTTTTTTACACTGCAACTTTTTTATACTACGGAGACAAAAAGAAGACACTGTTTTTTGTATATGACCCCGCTACAGAAAAACGTCAATGTTTTTTATTTGTTATTTATTTTCTTTTTGCCGTCAGTCTTGCCCCTAGTGCTCTCGCGAACAGTCTGTGACCGAACATTGATAAGCAGAAAACAGGAGGAAACGAACCGCGAGCAGGATGACCTCTTAAAATGCCAGCAAAGCATACCCTAACGTTGAGTGCCTTTCTGTCTGAACGCAACCGACTTGAAGAAGTTGTGACCAGTGTCATGGCTATTATATATGGGCTCTCTTTGTTTTTCATTCACTCATTTCAGTATCCCGTGTTCGTTTATAGTGAACTCCCCATTTAGGGATTATGAATTGTAGTTAAAGGAACACTGACAGGGTATTTAAGGTGGCGAAGGTTTTTATTTGTTATTTTTACATAACATATAAAACCTCAATTACACGAAACACAATTTGCGGCTCGGAAGTAATTATCTTTCCACCCGAAAACCGCCGATCGAGAAGTGGCCGGTTTGATTCCCGCTCACTCTCTTCTTCGTTGACACGTGCCGTTTGCTATGGTTTTGACACAACCACCAAAGATAATCAAATTTATGGCTCATCCAAGGCACTCACTCAATACAAAGAGTTGACAAAAATAAGACGCCCATTTTTTGTAGCTTCTAAAAGACTGTAAACAAGTTGATTGAAAAAAAAAAGTTGCACATCCACGTGCCTTTCGGCAACTTTCTCCTCTATATTTCTTCTTCCTCCCAGTCCAGTTTCAATTTTGAGCAGTTGCGTATTTTGACTTCATTAAAAATATATGACGCTGCAGAAAAATATTGATTCTGTAGTTTCCTGACACTAGATTAATCCCCTGGCAAACTATTAAAAAACGTTGGGGAGTGGTAGTGTCCCCTCAAACGATGGGTCTAATGGGCGCCACTGGACGTGATATTCAGCAATGCCACTATAGCTAAAGCGACGTTTTTTTTGTCCCATAAATGTTGTGTAACTTGTATCAGTGATTTCCTGCTCCTTATAGTTTGACTGCATAGAATAGCCCTACGGTTTTTTTTGTCGTTTTGTGCTGTCGCGTGCAAATAAATCATTCTGGTAAACAAGATTTTCGCAACTGTATAATTGTGTTTGTCATACACGTCGATACAAATTACGCAACGCGGATGTATCTTCAAGTGTTTGTAGTCTACTCCATATGCTTTACAGTGTACGTAACTTCGGTAGTAGTTTAAATACTTTATGAAGCAGGTATTTGGTAACTTAATTACTGTTATTGAGTATTTTGTCCAACTCAAGGGTTTAGTCCATGTACGCGTGCGTTTGTTTCCTATGCGAAATAATATACAAGACCCGCGTTTTTTATGTTTGCAATTTTAGCAAAGTTCTCCTGCGTCACTTACTTCGCATGTCTGACCGTTTGTGATAAATTGACAACCGATGTACCGCACCGCTGGCCGAACCACCGGCAGATTTTTGCGAAGTCCCTCTCCTTGAAACTTTGATAAGTAATGTCTGCTTTACGCACCTTTATTTTTCAGCTGGAAATCGAACGGTAAGCTGTTTCCAGATACAAATGAAGAAACGCAGCAACAGCGGTGAATATGAAATTTATCCTCGCAACGACCCAGTAAATGTTAGGTGTGACATGGAGTCTGATGGCGGCGGATGGACAGTAAGTGTCTCCTCATAGAGGAGAGAATACAAATTGCACTTTTAAAGATATCTTTGCCCTTTTTCTTTTGATGAACAGGCAAGATCGTTCAAAAGGGGCAGTGCAACAATTTTAAGGGGTGTCAGTAGTCGATTGTGTTAATGCACCACAACTAAGAGCACGTGAATTGGAGGCTCCAGCTGCAGAACCCCGGGATCCTTGATTTAGTCTCCAGGTCAGCCCGTTCAATCTGGATCATCATCATATATCTTCACGAGTTCGTGTATTGCTATGCACTGCGTGGCTCATCCTAAACACCGCAGGTTAGCATTCGTACTTCACTGGAAATAGTTCTCATCTAAGGCGTGTAACAATTTTGCCATACTCTGGCAGACTAACCAAATACTGTTCAAACGTCGTTGCGACGCATGAGCACGTTTCGCAATTATCTGTTGAGTTTAAAGCTTGAATTTGATTAAATGTGCCAAAAACTTTCTTCGCCATCAATATTCACTAAATGGAGCTTAATAATAATAATAATAATAATATCTTTATTTATATCACTCTTGATAGGGGAGCCCTGTTGTGTTATCGTAAACCCGACGTCAACAAAACCATCCCCTTTTTTCTGCTTTCGTAACGAACCAATAAAAGCGCATGTTTACACCTCTCCTCGTCAGAAGTTGACTCCCGGCCGCCAACATCTTCGAGGCCGACAGATTGTGTTGTTCGAACACTACCAAACCGGAGCTTTGAAACTGTTTTAATCCGACGCGGAAACCTCCAGACCACCAGAGAACGAAAATTAACTTTGAGCGGGTCCCTACTGAAAAAACCCGTATAAAAATTCATACTGGTTGACCCGTATATCTCATTGGTGTTATGGGATACGGGTCTCCCGTATGCTACTGGAAACCCGTACCTGTACAGGTTGACCCATTCAGATACAGGAGCCCGTACCTCTATGGGTTGACCCGTTCAGATACGGGACCCGTACCTGTACGGGTTGACCCGTTTAGGTAAGGGAAACCGTGCCTGTACGGGTTGACCCGTTTAGATATAGGAGCCCGTCCGTACCTTACAGGTTGACCCATTCAGATATAGGAACCAATATTTATACAGATTCACCTGTTCAGGTAGAGAAACCTATATCTTTACAGGTTTACCCATTCTGACGCAGTAATAGGAATCAACATGGTGTTGAACGTTTGCATACGGACCTACGGATCTTTGCAGGTTTAACAATTCACATGCATTTGTCATGCAAAGAATGAGCATGAGCCAGGTCATTTCAGGTTATATGTGTATTTAGTGAAGGCAAATTGGCATACTGCAGAACATCAACAAGAAGCTTAACCTCTAAGCAAGCTTAGAAGTCAAGCTTCTTGTTAATATCCTGCAGTACGATATTAACAAATTGGCATACTGCAGTAGGTTGACCCGAGCTGTCCTCTTCCCTGGAGAGGCCTCTCGAGGATGCCTCCATATGTACTCGTTGAAGGCATCTGCAGGGGAAAATAATACAACAATAAGTCATGTATATCTACAGTTTCTCGAAAAATTTAATATTTTAATTCCAGCAATTATAAGCAAGCAGTTTTTACTACAATTTATGCTTTGTTAATATCTTGTGATACCATGTAGACTCCAAGAGCAACTTCTTACGAATACGCAGTCTGCTGACAACAGCAGGTATGCATGATTCGGCCAGAAAGTTTTGAACCAGTTCAGACCGAGTTCGAAGGAGTGCAGAAGCAGTGCGCAAGTCGGGCTGCGGCTGTGTGAAGTTAAGCAGCAGCGTTACAAACGACCCTGTAATTAGTTTCCGAAAGACCGAGGAGTTGCCACCTGTTACTGCATGAACGCTGAAATGACTTCGGCCAGCGCAAGATTCTGTGGAACTGAGGCTGAGCTCGTGCAGCACTGGGATAAATCGAACAGTTCAGTTCAGCGTCCAAGCAACTTCCGATTGAATCTAATGCATCAGTTCTTACACTACTTGAACTATATCGGCTGGTTCAAGCAAATCGAAAAGACCTAGTGTGACTTCCCACAACTATGCACTTAAAGTTTGCTTGAAACAGTGTGTTCCTTGCATTTCATTGTCTATAAAAATAATAGACCCTGGAGCAGTGGGACAAAAAGGAACAAAAAGACACGAAGCTCCGGAGCTTTATGTCTGTCTGTCCCTTTTTGTCCCCACGCTCCCGGGTTACTACATCTATCCTTAACCAGCTCGCCTGCCTGTTAACTAAAATGAAAGTATGTTCTATGAATCCAAATACGCGTATGTATTTTCAATTATGAACATGGGCCTCCGATTGCCTAAAGCCTCGAACACATTTCATGCCCAACAATGGCACCATGGAAACGAGTGAAAGGAACATTGAACACACAATGCTCGGGAGGCGGTTTTTGTGCGAAAGAAAGACTTTGAGCCGCAATTGTTGTTCTGGGCATGTATATAAATTAACAACACATCTTTGACATCAAGAATCATTTGACAAATTTAATATCCGTGTCACGACCCTTCAATGGTCCATTCATACGTGATAAGAGGAATACCCGCGATGAGAAGGTAGTTTAGAAAAAATGTGCAGTACTCAAAGGACAGAGCCAAACATAGTTCGGCTCCAGCAGCTCTAGTGGACAAACAGACTCGTTTCACAGCTTTGCTAGTGCCAGCTTTTCGTTCAAAATAAAAAAAATGAGTGCCTCACAGCTCCGCCGGGAAGCCAACAGACGGTCCTGTGAGCAGGCCTCTGATATCATAGACCCCCCCAAAACTTGCAGGGATTAGCAGATATTTGCGACGCGGAGCATGTTGCTGTAAAACGTCCATAGTGTGAATGCATCAGAAAGCGCCAAGCGACCTAGATGACCGTGACAAGGTCACCTTATTTTTCTTCATATATTAAAAACAAAGAAGGAGATAGGGCTTCTTCATTTCGGTTTTGCGCTCGGAGCTTTACGTTCCTAAAGCTCGAACTCGTCGAACTGTGACCCTTCAACAGCCTATAACACTGAAAGTTCTATAAGCCTTGGAATATTTTATCCCATTCATTTTGCCGTAGCAGATTGCAACTTTGGAAGCCATAAGGTTTGAATGTCTCACCAAGTATGATATATCTGTGAGAAGTGGGCACTTACTGCTGACTGCTGCCAACTTGACTGGAGTCAGGGCCTTCTTGGCCACGGCGCCCTTGAAGCGCCGTCATGGCACCCCTCACGCTCGGCCCATGCAGGTCCTCTCTGCCGAAGACCAGCTTCATGGCCTCTTTAACGAAGATGGAGTCTCCCCGGGCTCCCCTGACGTAGGACAGTTTGTACTTTCGCACCAAGACACCGTGGCCAAGGTGAACCTAGAAATAGATAAAAATGCTCTACAGGAAATGCAGCCAGCCATTGGTCCCAATCTCGATCTTTCGGAAACTTGTGCAGACATCTGCCGCACAATGACACTTTTTTCGGACGCAGGACATGTGAGGCAGCTCTTCACGCAACATCTTGGTGGTATTCTTTTCGGAGGTGATCACGGAAATTCCCCACGGGCACTCACTACTCATCTCCAGCTTCTCAATGTACAGAACAACTCATCTTGAAGTGCAGAACAGAGAGTGGAACAAACATAACTGCAAAGGAATCGCACAGCAAACAGTTCCAGCCACGCATGTCGTCTGCTGTACACACAAAAAAAAGGACACAGAAGGGAACACAAAAAGCTCAGTCGGGTGTAGCCACGTGACCTCTCCCACTCACTCTCTCCTCTCCACTTCTCCGACCTCCGTGCACGGGTTTCAGTTTCGGTTCTGAGCAGTTGCGCTTTCTGGCTTTCATAAAGATATATGTGACTCTGTTGCAAAATATTAATTATGTAGTCTTTCGACACAATAAATCGCCTGGCAAAAAATGAAACTTTTTTTTTTTTTTTTTTTGGGGGGGGGGGGGGGTGTAAGTGTCTGTTTAAAGGGGCGGTGTAATGATTTTAACACTGAACGAACGTGCAGCTTGTATTTTTTATATTGTTTACTTCGGTATAAGCAAGAGAAAAAGTGCCGCCATACTGCAAAATATCTCTATTTCACTGCGTAATCGCAAAATAAAAAACACTTTTTTTCCCAACCTGCGGCCACATGGTGGCCGCAGATGGAACCTGTGGTCTGACGTCATTCGGAGTGGATTTTGTAAGTGATAGTGTTAGGCAATTGTAAGCTTGATTTAAGGTTGAGTTTAAAAAATCTTGTTGTTCAGGCATCCAGAAACGCTTCAAAAGCCTAATATTGCCGCTAAAACATTTGTGGCGCCATCTACCGCAAGTCAACCAAACCTGCCGTCGCCGTCATCCGTCGACGCCCGAGGCGCCTACGGCGGCTACACGAGCAACCCGGACGTTTTGTCTTTCCCTCGCTCGACGGAGTGCGTTGGTCGTGGTCCGTAGTATTGTGGTATCGTTATTGTTCCTGGTGTCTCGACCTCGACTTCGACTGCCCGCCGCGTCGACTGCCCGCCGCACAAGTCCGACTGACTCACTATACGCAAGCATCTTTCGCTCGACGTCGCTCAAGCCGTCTGCCCATGCCGCCATGTTGGTCGGGGATCGACGGGAGAGCGGGAGAGCCGCGAGCCCGGCGAGGCGGCGAGCGCTGGGTAAACGGAAGCCAGAAGCGCCCAACCGGAAACTAACGCCACTCCGAATGACGTCACAGGCGAAGCTGGTGCCGCTTCAATGTCGAGTTGAGGGGTGCCAAAGATACCAATTTCTTTTATTTTTTTAATGAAAATTAGGGCAAGCAGGGAAGATTAGTTTTCTGTCTTTCGTTTTATATGTGGCCGGGATCGATTCCCGCAATTAATAACCCAAAGTCCGCAAATTGTTGCACCGCCCCTTTAAGTGAGTTCCGAGTAAAGCGGAAGAGAGAAAGAAGGGTACCAATTATAACAGAATTTTAATCTGGGCTCGTGGTACACGATTTATGGAAAAGCTTGAAATAAAACGAGGACACTAAATAGAAAACGTTTCAAAAAAGCGCCAATTAATTGGGAAGAAATATCTTATCAATGCCCGGTTCTACTCTTTACATTCATCAGCATTTTGAAGCAGGACGATGGTTCAATTTAAGGAAACATACAAATAACCTCATTCAAGGAGCTGTGGAAACCATAAAATGTAGTCACTTGCCCAATATCTGAAATGAATATTCAATGAAATTCTGAACTTACCTCATCATCGACCTCTGCAAGCACTGGCACACACTCGGGAGGTGCCTCCGGTGGGCCTGCTACAAGAACCGCTGCTGGAACAGCAGCATCAGCGGCCGGTAGCTCGCGCAACGTGAACTGGAGCAGGAGCACCAGCTGCAGGAACTGCCGCTGGGCAAGCTGGAGGAGCTGACCCAACACCGCCAGACGGGACTTTGTCCACTGCAACATAATAAAACAATGTTTAGAAACAAGACACGGTTACAGGAGTCGACAGATTTTTCGGACGCCAAAAGTTCAGACATGCTTGGTTATTCAGACTTCAGCACTTTCCTGGTCCGTTGATGGCATGAGGGCTTCATAGTGCTTCATGCCACAGAATACTATCGGCAGTGTGCCTATTTGTTTTTCCGTAACACACCGGGACTGGAAAAGTGGTGCGAGCAGAACACACAAAAAAAGGACGAGACACAAAACCAAAAAAGAAAAAGGAAAAAAGGAAATGCGCTCAAATTCGCCGGTAGTGGGCGGCAGAGAGCATGTTTACAAAAAAAAAAAAAATGCCGGTGAATAGCTAATGAATATTCATACCTAGCACTTCCGACGGTTTGCGACATATAAGCTCAATCTTTCTGACGAAATCCAATGCTGTAGCAGATTGTCTGGCCACCTTTTGACCAGTTGCACAGTTGCGTCGCTAGGCACAAGCTGACGCCCGATTAAAGTTCAGCCTTGTTGGTGCTGTGGTCATGCCTACGACCAGCTTCCTCACTCTCTCCTCCTCAACAAAAAGAACTCCTTTCTCCCCAATGACGAAAGGACGTGCGCTGGCCGGGCTCATCGGAAAGTGCATATTTACAATGTGGTGACCGACAGAACAAACATTCACTTCAAGCCTCATCGATGTGCACAGACCATGGTGTCTTGGTATGGACATGATTGTTTGACGAACTGCAAAAAAATATTTCTTCGGTCAAAACAACAGTGCTGCCAAGCAAAACGGGGTCATCGCCATCAGCAACAAGAAACAAGCTCTCAAAGCTCCATTTGCACCCTAAGAAAAGAGAATTATGGACACCAACTCATTGATACATTGAGGGCACCCTGTTGTATATGCTTGCTTCCGTTTGCGACCAAAAAAATTAAAGTTACTTTTGATCCCTCGGATAAAGTGTGAGCACATAATGTGTCGTGTGTGAGGTGGGCAACTGAAAGTGCCTCCACGCTTACCCAGTAGTGCCAGCAGTTGCTTCTTGGTAGCGTCCTCTCTATCTGGAGCTCCTGCTCCAGGTTCACCACCCTCTGCTTTGCCGACCGCAGCTTTTCAACCAGTCAGGCATGCTCCACAAGCGACACAGTGGACGTCTTGTCCTCCGTCTTCTTTTTTTCTTGTACTTGCCACCCACTGCAGGGGATGGCGACATCTCAATCTGGAAGAGAAAAAAGGTCCACGCATTTCAATATTCATTTAATATAAACTTCCACCACAGGATTCGGACACACATAGTTCACATTAAATTGCCCCCCCCCCCCCCTTTATTTTCTAGGTGTATGTTTCAGCCCCATACCTGTGATTGCCCCCTCCCCCTGAAAGAATGCTTCCAGATGCCCATGACCATATATCCGGTATTCACGGTCATTTCAGGAAATAATTGTTGCATCGTCTTTTACACACTCTAGTGTGTAAAGGACGATACGTGTATCTGTTTGCGCTACGTGTACCTGTTGGCAGCAAACACTGCATAGGTAAACGAGATAGTATGATAAAATATTGTGTTAAAAGTACTTCTCAGTTAGTTAGAAAGTAAATACTACTTTGCACCCAGTGTACTTTCTATGAGGTACGTAAACTCTCAGTTACTTTGTATTTGCAATCCAGTACTTTTAAATACGATAGCATTTATAAGCAAACCCTATGCACTTTAGGCGTCCATTGGTCCGAGGATTTGTTACTGCTTTTGAAAACCAGCATGCGCCGGCACATTATAATTCAGAAAAGAAAAACATGCCGTCGGCACTGTGCGTCAAATCCACAACTGTTGGGGTCTAAGCCGGGCACATCGTATCCGCTTCACTACGAGCACACATGGGCAAGCATTTGCGAAAGAGTTACTGGGTGCAGGCAAGAGCTGCGTTGATGCACATGCCAGTGACTCAACGCCGTTGTTGCCATAACAATGAGTGTCACATCTGGTCGCAGTCGCGCATAGCCACATCTGTGGAGAGCTCTGTGAACCAGACTTGAGCATCATCTATCGTTGTCGGTATGCGAAAGTAGGTCTCACCAGAGGAACATACACGCAAGCGTGCTGAGGCACAGTGGCAGCAAAGTGCCTAGGGCACTACAGAACAACATGAAAAATGTTTGTTGAAAGCTAGAGAGGAAAGTAGCAACAAGAGAACCATCGAAGCGGATGAAAAGATTCAAAAGAGGAAACTTTGGCTGCCACGCAAGCAGGACCCCAAACAAACGAGGACGTCTTACGATAGTGGAGAGAGATGCACCTTCGACTACAACGAGATTCAGACTTAGAGCAGGTGAGGAAGCCTCGTAAGACTGAAGAGGGTAAAATTCAGATATAATGCGGTGGAGAAACAAGCAGGAGAGTGTCTCTTGAAATTGAAGACGGACAACTTCGGCTACAGCACAATCGAGACCAGGAGTGGCCAAGCTGTGGCTCTTTGTGTGTTAAAGTGCGGCTTGTGGTCCACTTTCATAGAGCATATCTACCTACCGGATCTGTGTAACAGAATAGCAAGCAATTAAAAAAAAAAGATATCTATACAAATAGTCCTGACCAGCCATAATGAATGGACACAATTACTCATGAGGCGAACAAAATGCAAGATATTCCTTAGCCTAACCGTGCAATTTTTTGCCCACAATTACTGCCCACTGGTAACAGATGTGAAGTATGGTGCCGATTTGAAAAAGGGACACAAAAGACGAATTTAAGGCCGCTGGTTCTGAACAGAGTCTAAGAATGCGGTAAGAAAAACAGTTTAAAGGCGCACATATACCTCGAACCTTGAGTCCAATATCATAGGGATGGCCACGTGCTTCTTTTTCAAAGCAGCAACCAGCTCACCTCGTGTCTCTGTAAGACAAAACATGCACATTGAGCTACATTTCAAAGTCGTGTTTGTCCCCCCTCCCCCCCCCCCCCCCCCCCCTTGTATCGAAGTTTATAGATATGACCATTCACCAGCTAGCCTGCGCTATAACCCATGTTTCAACAAGTCTTTTCTTCTATATTTTTAAAAAGTAAATGCACCACCTAGTCGAACTTATGTGGTAAAGTTGTCGTAGCTTACAGAGCCTATTTGTTGTGATTTATTTTAAATTGTCGTGGCTGCCATCTGGAGCGCCCTGTAGTTCAACAATGTAAAACCCTTTGCTCTTGCCGCCCACTTCTTTACAAATCCGGCGCAAGGACATATTCGTGCCCATCACATTTTGGAATTCTAGACGCCGGAACGGGGGACGCCGGAACGGGGGCCCACCAAATTTCCGCTTTCCATGTGTCCTTAAATTTCGCTAATTTTTGGACGTGTAGAATTTGCTAAAAAGTAGAGGCTCGCGAACATAGGGAGTTTTCGTAGACCGCGTTTCCCCCCTCCGCTAATCCTTCCGCAACGAAGAAGTTACTACTGCGCCTGCACGCCGATAGCCTTGACTGTAGAGTTCCAGGTATATAGCGAGTTGCGGAGGGCGTTGCGGGACGGCGAGAACGATCTACGAAAACTCCCTATTAATGGTTTGCAGTAAACGTTGCGCTTCGAGCCCCTGATGCGTAGAAAACAACTTATCATTCTCCGGCGCACGCTCCAACAGCCTCCCAGTAGACGCTTTTCGGCACGTCGGGGTCGAAGTCGCCAAGGGTCGCCGGTTTGAACTTCTTGATGCGGTTCACGCTGACTATTGCCTTCGCGCCACCAACATAAATCACGTACAGTCGCCGGCCATATGAGCTCCCCCGGCCGAACGCCGGCCGGAGCAGCGAAAATCCCGCATGCGGCGCGTCGAGCGTCGCCGCGTTCTGGGAGCCGGGCTATTGGGACCAAACCATTACGCTATCAAGGGGGTGGACGCAAGAAGTTTAATAGCATTACGCGTTTTCTAATGTGAATCAGAAGCACGGCCGATTTCTAGCCTGCTTCCGGTTGTATAGGTAAACACAGGCGGTTTATCGAAATTCTTCACTGCATAATATCTCTGACGTGTTATATGATACTTTTTTATTTGAGAAACCTGTTTGTAATTTTAAACAGTTCCTACCCGAAGAGTAATCCTACGCGCAAGCCCCCCCCCCCCCCCCCCCCCCCCTTTCTTACAATCTTTCTTAAACCTAGACTAGACAATGACAAGCGATTTTGAAATAATTTATTTAATCTATAAGGATATGCTATAGATAACAAAAAAAGAATGATTTGTGTCGAAGCAGAATAAAGATTCAGACACCTTTCATGAACGCGTTTTATCGAGGAGACTGTATTGCTCTGCGCTCAGTAGCGTGTTGCTTCGCCAAGGGTGACTTTCTACACGATGACTTTGCAAATGGCTTCCTGGTCGGCCACTTCAGGCTTGCCGAGGGATCATTGTTGTCATGCCTAATGTCATATCAAACATAGGATTTTTACATTTGTAAGCATCGATCGAACACTGCTGCTTTACCTACGCCTAAAGCAAGCTCCAGTTTATAAGCAGTTATAACATCATCTCCGAACACTTGGGGACAACACCCGAAGACGGCAATTCTAATCGGCCATGTTTTTGTGATTCACATTTCGAAAGACCGGAATCCCGATAAAAGCTATGCGTCCACCCCTTTGATAACGAAATGGTTTGGTCCCAATAGCCCGGCTCCCAAAACGCGGCAACGCTCGACGCGCCGCGTGCGGGATTTTCGCTGATCCGGTCGGGGTTCTGCCGGGGGAGCTCATATGGCCGGCGACTGTACGCTTAGTACATATCGACACCGATAAACAACGATCGAGATGGCCCTAACGTCAATGCGGCTTTGCGGCTTTGGTTCAGAGAACTGGCTGGCAGTGGCTAGCTGGCCAGCGGCGCGGGTACATAAGGATTGGATTGGATTGAAGAAATAATCTGCCTTAGGTTATGTTAGTACTATTATTACTTAAAATAGTTTTAAAACATTTAAAAGCATAAAAACTTACCATTGTAAGTTTATTTCTTGTTAAGAAAAACATTGTTTGTCCGTCGTTGGTTGTTTTTCTGCACTCTGGCTTGCAGCTACGAAATCCAATTCAATCTGATGTCAATAAACCAAAACCGAAACTACCGCGGTACAGGGCTCAAAGCTGTGAAACAAACTCTCGTTTATCTCGGCCTCGCTTCCCATGAATTTGGTTTTCGCATTTTATGACTTTAAATATGCATGTCATAAAATGGTTGAGTTTGATAGCTGAAACTGTGAAATTGAAATGACCTAATATGTGATTTTATGATTAAAATTCTTCATTGAAAAAAAATATCACAGTTTAGTTTCGCGGTGCGCGCGTTCCCGTCGAGGTCTGATGATTTCTGGTCGCGTTAAATAAAGGGGTATCAACACGAAGGAGAATTCCGCGGACGGATTTCGTGACGTCAACAACCCATTAAAGGGGGATCCACACGAAGGAGAAATCCGCCACGTTCCTCCGCCGATCGCGCATCACGTGAGACATACGTCATCCCTTTTTGACGCCTCGCGGCGCGTTCTCCTCCGTGGCGGAGGCGCGGAGGCTTTGTGCTGACAGCACGAAAGCTCCGCAGGTGCACGCGGCGGAGCCGGGGACGGAGTTTCCAGGGGTGTTGACGTCACGACATCCGTCCGCGGAGTTCTCCTTCGTGTGGATACCCCTTAAACTCCGTCCCCGGTTCCGCCGCGTGCACCTGCGGAGCTCTCATGCTAAAAGTACGAGGCCTCCGCGCCTCCGCCACGGAGGAGAACGGCGGCGCGAGGCCGCGAGGCGTCAAAAAGAGATGACGTATGTCTCATGTGATGCGCGCTCCGCGGAGGAAAGGGGCGGATTTCTCCTTCGTGTGGATACCCCTTAAACCGATCTCACCGGTTAGTTTGACTACGCCACCGCTGCCGCAATGCAGCGAGGGAACTTTAGTCTTTGTGCACGTGCGACAACCTCGCTGGAGCTCTTCGCGCGTAGAGCACGAGAAGACACGAGCCCTCGCGTGCACGGCCGTCTGCCTCCTGTGAACTAAAGTTATGGTGGCTTTAATGCGCCCAACGCTTAGTGAGGTCGGTCTATTGTGAAAAAATTGGGTTGTGTGTGTGTTTATACAGCCTAGAACTTGGTCTGCCTCACAGGGGTGACGAGTCTCCCAGCTGTAGATGAGAAATTTAGCCAGTGCGGTACAGCCGCTAGCCTGGGGTCTTTAACGTGCATCACGCAGTAGTGATACACGACCGCACGCCGGTACGATGCTCATCCAGATCGAAACGGGCAGGGGTGGGGCTCGAGCCCAGGATCCCTAGGTTCTGCAGCGCGAGCTTTCGCTCCACTTGCTCCGAGCTGGTGTGCGCTAGACCACTTGGCCACCGATCCCCCAGGTCTATTGTGAATACCGGTAGAGCCTGTACAAGGTTACCGACCGCCGGTTTAAGTGCCGGCGCCGGTAAGGCGTTACCGGTCGCTCCGATACGTGGTTGCTATTCGCCGCGCTTCGATTTCTGGCCACCGGTACGTTATTACGGACCACCAGTGTGCCGTACCGGCTTCGCCTGTACGTGTTCACTCGCCGCCTGTACATGATATGGGTAACCGGTACGGCGTATCGGCTTCGCCGGTACGTGGTTACCGGTTACCGGTGTGGCCTACCGGCGGTGCCCGTACGTGTTTACCGGTCGCCTGTACATGGTATGGGCAGCCGGTACGGCGTATCGGCTTCGCCAGTACGTGGTTACAGGTCGCCGGTACAGAGCTACCGGTTACCGATATGAGAATACAGGACTCCGGTGTGAACCGGTATAGGCCGGTATACATTCGTACAGGTTTTTTTCAGTAGGGGTTGGTAAAGATGATTTGAAAAGCACGAAACAATAAAACATGTGGGCACGAGGACAGGCAGTACAGTTATAGTGACCTATAGTTCACTGTAGTAGAGTTCTTTCAACTAGCAACCGACATTTAATGATGCCACCGAAGCCACTTTCAATGCCTCAGCCGTTTTATCCCTCAACCCAAAATCCCTCGGAAGAAGGAAAAAAAAAAAAACTTCGGAATGAAGAAGAAACCCGGGAAAAAGAAGAGAGAGAAGAAATATAATCCCGAGGACACCTAAGCATTTCTTATCAGTTCGGAATGCGAGAGCATAAATGTTATCTTCCGTTCCCTCAGTTCGTATGCAGTGTACTGGCGTGGTCGGCCACGTTTCGCAAGTGCCGAAGTCCAGGTCGCTGGCGAAATAGATGCCTCAGGCGCCGCCATGTTCCTCGGTGCCGAGAGGGGCAGAAGTGGCCGCAGCCCCCCACCCCCTTCCGCAACGCCTGACACGAGAGCGGCGGCCGAGCGCGCGCTCTCGTGTAGCTGCCGCAGCCCCCCCCCCCCCCCCCCCCCCCCCCGCCTTCCCTCCGGCACCGCCTGCTACGAAAGGTTTTTCCCCACAAGTGCTCGACTAAAGGGCCCTCACCCCCCCCCCCCCCCCCCCCCCTTCCTTCCCTCCCTTGAAATAAATATATTTTTTAAACAGTCCGGTTGGGACACGCGTATCAAGAAATAAATTTTAAGCGAAAAAAAAAAATGACAGCAATATTAACGGCGTGAGACGCGATTTAGTCGGCAGTCCCCTCCTTTCCACTTTTTTTTCTCTCTCGGCATTCCGGGCGCGGGGAGGAGCGGCGGAGCGGGTTCGCCTTCACGACCGAGATGGTCATTCCGGAAGGACCAGTGACGTCATGGACTTCGCAAGCAGAATTTCAAATAAACCTCTCGCCGTCAATATTGCTCTAAATTTCTTTATCACGTCAAATGTATTGTCTGACAGGCGTGTCTTAACCAGATTGTTTGGATTTTGGTTTCCTTTCGGAGGCCTTTAGTTAACGGAAAACTTTTTAAACGTCCTATATATCATTTAGAGTTCTCTAGATTACTCAGTTAACAAACTGACTGTGCGGAAGAAC